CTTCATCTGTTCTGACCTTCAGTCCTAATTCTTTCCGTGAAAAATGATTTTTAGTATTCCAAAGTTCACTTAGGAACCCTAGAACTTGCCAGCATTTCTGGCATGACTTTAAAGTTAAAAGGTCGGTTTCTGTATGTGGTTTGTGGAAATCACTTTTATCCTATGATCATATCATATGTATCTTTAAAATACTGGCTGGAATCTGGAGTCCTGAGAAAACAAACTGCAGTTTCATAATTCCTAGAAGGGTAATACAAACAACTTACCTCTAACAGCTGCCAGAACTGACCTAAGACACTGGAATGTTGAGCAAAAAATATACACATTTTCTCTGCATATTTAATGGTTGTATCTTAAAGATCAAAAATGGAGCTATAATATAGAGCTCTAATGGAGAACTCCTCTGACTCCCTGACTATTGTCCAGAATTATGTAATGATAAGAATTCTAAAATACCAGATTTTCTAAGGATAGTAATAGAGAGATATGATTCTGTGGGATTAAGGGATCTGGGTGACTTTTCCCTCCACTCTTTTATTCTCTTTACATGAGAACTCTTTGGTAAAGAAAAGAAAAAATAGGCTTTACTCCTTCCCTGACCAGCTACTTCTAGTTACATAGTTTCACTCTCAACATTACCATAATATACAAACTAGAGCAGGCTAAAATTTGAACAATTTACTCAGTCACTTAACCTAAATATATCTTAGAAATTGTATCTAGGAAATTGTATTTTAGAAATGTGCTGACCACATTTCTAGTATAGGAATAAAAATTTTGTATATACATTCCAGAAAACTTGAGCTCCTAAAATCTAAATTATTAATAGCCAAATGAACAGACAGTTTTGGGATTCCTGGCAAATAAGGCCTACATCTACTAAACATGCCTTTGTGGAAAAAAAGACAAATTTAGCAATAAGACTAAGGAACAAAATATAAGGAAAAATAAAGAATGCATATCAACTATCATATTATGTGGCAACTGAAGTTGAAATGGAGACTACGGATAAAATATTGTCAAAAGCATGATAACAATTCCAAATGATTCTGGAATCTAAAAAATTACAAAATTTAAGCACAAAATCCCCAACAGCTAAGTTTAATTACATTTATTTATTCCATCTATCGGAATATTAGTCTAAAGTTCATAATCAGTAAATTTACATACTAAATGAAGTTTTGACTAATATGAATGTGAACTTTATCTGATTCTTTTAAATATCATAAAGCTGACAGAACATGAGAGCCTTCAAATATAGGTGGGAGAAATTATTTGTTTTCTCCATGAATCTTTTCCATTACAAACAGAAGTCAAGAGACAGAAATCAGTGATTTAACTGGGAAGGAACAGGCAGAATAGAAGTCCCCTATTTAGCTCAGTTCCTCCTCCTTGTGGTCACAAAGGGGAGGTGCCTGTCATCTGGTGGCATTTCCTCAAGGATTCCTAGCATTTAAATGACCTACATAGTCATCTGAGGGAATATATGACACCAATGAAAAGTGTTCAGTTTCAATTTGTAAGTGATATATGCTAACTTCTGCATCTCACTCTTCACTTCCCTCTTTTTAAGAGTCAATTTTGAAACAATGTTTTTAATTGCAAGATTGCAGAACAAATCCCAAACAAAGCAGTGGTTGTCCATGTCTAAGAATTGAGTATGCAGGCAAACTACAGTCACTTGTAACACAAAGCGGGGTGCGCGGGGGATGAAGTTAAATATCATGGTGCGTGAAACCACTGCATGAAACTTCACCCATACTGGCAAGTCGGGAGGGGGAAGGCGGGGATACTTCTATGTTTATCAGTCCCACACTAGGTTACAGTCTGCAGCCCAGACTGACTCGTGCACATTGTTTTCACATTCTCAGTTTCCATCAAACCACCAAGTAATGTTTATAAAGTGATAGGACGAAATAAAAACGCTTCTTCAGGATAAGTTTTGGATGGTTTCCACTCAAGATAACATAGATTGATGTTATTTGGATAAGTGTCTAGTAAGTTCCCCTGCAGCAGGAGATACACTCCTGGGCTGCAAAGCAGCCCTGCTTCTGGCTTGTTTCCCCACCAGCTCTCCATTTACAGTCTTGTGGCTGAGAGGATGCTCCTTCTCCATTCCTAGACCTAATCCTGACATTCAGATAATGTTTGTGTTAATGCTATGTAGTTAACTTTGCACAATTACAAAGCAATCAGAAGCTTAGTGGGTTGTTATGGTCCTGAGAGACTACTTGTACCTACACATAATTTGAATGAGCTAAAACAAATTAAACTGTAAAACTGTATGCAGAATTTTTATCCTTCTCTTAAGTAATTCCCAGCTTATAGTAAAAAACAGAGTAACTAAGGTAAGAAGGAAAAAAGAGTATTTGAAGAATTCACTTTTTTATTTTTATTTATTTTTATTTTCTTATTTTTATTTTTATTTTTATTTTTGAGTTGGAGTCTCACTCGGTCGCCCAGACTGGAGGGCAGTGGCCGCTGCCGGCCACCGCAGCCTCGACCTGCTGGGCTCCGGCGATCCTTCCACCTTAGCCTTCCGAGTAGCCGGAATTACAGGCATGCGCTACCACGCCCGGCTGATTTTTTGATTTATTGTAGAGATGAGGTCTCGCTGCCCAGGCGGGTCTCAAACCCGCGGGCTCAGGCAATTCACTCACCTCAGCCTCCCAAAGGCGCGGGATTACAGGCTGAGCCACCGAGCCCGGCTCTTTTTTATTTTTTTATTTCTACTTTTTGAATTGGAATCTCATTCTGTTGCCCAGACCAGAGTGCAACGACAGAATCATAGCTCACCACAGCTTCAACCTCCTGGGCTGAGACGATCCTTCTACCTCAGCAACTTGAGTAACTGGGACTATAGATGCACACTACTATTCCTGGGTAAATTTTTTTGGTTATTTGTAGAGAGGAGGTATCATATTGCCTAGGCTGGTCTTGAACTCCTGGCCTCAAGTAATCCTTCCCAAATTTCTGGGATTACACCACAACCAGCCAGAATTAGCTTCTTAATAACTTATAGACAAGGGAAGCCAAAGAGAAGCTAAGAAACAAGAATGCTACTTCAAGAGGCAATCTGTCCTCGGTTCTTTGGATGACAGGGCATTTTGCCAGCTGTCTCTACTGGACCAATTAAAAGAGTTATACCAGCCAGGCTCAGTGGCTCAGCCTGTAATCCTGCGCCTTTGGGAAGCTGAGGTGAGTGGATTGCCTGAACCCGCGGGTTTGAGACCTGCCTGGGCAGCGAGACCTCATCTCTAGAATAAATCAAAAAATCAGCCGGGCATGGTAGCGCATGCCTGTAATTCCAGCTACTCGGAAGGCTGAGGCAGAAGGATCGCCGGAGCCCAGCAGGTGTTCGAGAGCGGCTACTGCATACCAGTCTGGGCGACCGAGTGAGACTCCAACTCAAAAAAAAAGAGTTATACCCATTGTATACCTAACCCTGAGTTGTAACCCACATCATTACAATAAAAAAAAGTGGAAAAAAAAAAGAATGGTATGCTGAAAGGGAATGCTCTCTAAGTTAAATAAATACCAAAATGATGTATATAATATATTTTTTAAGTGTTATACCCAAACTGCTGTACTCATTTGAACTGAAACAATTCAGCATGAATGTCTGAAGGCACTAGGATGTCACATTGTATTGTTTGGCCTTACAGGAAGAGGGGAATGCCTGCTAGTCTCATTTAAATAACATTCATAGCATTTTACTTTGCTTTCTTTCTGCAAACTGTTTTTTATTATTCTTCACCTCACATAATTGAAAATCTGCACATTATTATCCCCTTACTCGGTGCTGTCTCTCCTTTCATGGCACAACGTGTTACAAAAAATGTAACAGCATAAGTGAAAAACCATGTTAGTAGGAAATACAAGTTTTATATGATAAAGTACATTTATGTTAGCAAGGTGATTTAAAGGTTCTGCTTATATAATGGGAAAGGATATACAACCATAAAGCTACCATTAAGCTACATTTATTTCCACCCAAAGTTGAGAAGATGCCACGGACCAGAGGCTACAGTATTCACATCTATGAATCTGAGGTGCCTTAGCTTGCCCACATGTATTCTTATTTTGTTCACAATCATTTTCATAGATGTGGAGGGTATATTGGGACCTCAGCAGCTATCTAGTATGTCTTTTCTTATCTCTAACTAAAATGTTCAAGCAGATGATTTGCTGTGCTACGTTTAAAGATTATCACTGAATGTACAGGAATCAGGTTCAGTGGAACTGTTTGTTCCCCAGACAGAACACTTCTCCTTTTATTGAACCTACATCTCACTGTTTGCTAGAGAAAAGTGGAAGAATAAATCATCATCACCCTATCTACACCAATCCTTTATATATTAAAAAGTCACTTTTTTGTCTCAGTTAGGTCATCAGTGTAGGTACAGCAGGTATCAGTGTATCTCTATCTGCCCATAAATTCTTGGGAAGACAGAAAAACCAACTAAGGCTCTGCAAGTCAGCTTTCGATCCATTGCTAGAGCTTTAATTTGTCACCCAAAGCCAAGTTTTCTCCTGTTGTGAATTTCTCGAAGAGAATTCTACTTTTCTTTTTCTTTCTCCAGAATAAAGAAAACAAATCCCTAGTATTTACAAAAAATGGAAGAGATTTTGTTCACGTGTTCCAAAGCACACTCTACCTTTTCTTGGTTGCTCTTGTTACTCTCATAAATTCATGTCATTTTAAAATATAACATTTCTCATCTATCATCCCCATCGAAATGTAAGCTTCATGAGGTCAGGTACCAAGTCTCCCTCATTCGTCACCATTTTCCTAGTATCCACTACAGATTTGTCATAAGCAGGCTCTTCATTTAACCTGGAGAATCGACAAATGTGCGTCAAAATCATTATTGTCCAGCACTCCTATTTTGGAGATATGAAAACAGAATCTGTAAAAGTCATTCTTAGAAATGACATGCCCCAAATTGCATAACATGTTAATGACAACTCTAGGATTAGAACTCTGGATTTCTTGTTCCTCATTCACGTTCCCCATCCATTACACCATGGAGGTTATTACATCTAATACCCTGGGCAGGCAGCACTACTGATGAGTAAGATACAGAAATCTTTGTGATCTCAACATCTTTTGGTTGACTGCTTGGCTCCCAGTGCTCTTTATCAACTGGAACACAGAAACTTTCCCATAATTATTCCTGGTTTATGAATACTTTAAGTAGGACTCCAAGAACAGAACCCAAAACAGAATTCTACAGCCATAGCAAAAAGGCAACTTACTCTCCAAAATGAGAGTTGAATTTTACAGAGGGCAAACCACAGATGTCAGCTGAATTTCCGTGGCTCAGCTACTGCTAATCAAATATGCTACTAAACACAGCTTCAATTTGTATGAGTTTTTAAAAAGTTATTATTTTGGGATTTCGTGAAAACAAATATTTTAAAAAATAAAGCTTCTCCTAAGTGTATGAAAGAAGTAAATGTGAATTTCCCAGGGTGACAAAGATGATCCAAAACTGGATTGTGATGATGGTTACCCAACTCTACAAATTCATTTTAAAGATCATTAAAAGGATAATTATTATAAATTACACTGCAGTAAAACCATTTAAAATAAGCCTGAAAGTAAGTCAGATGGCTAAACTGCTTCTTTCTGTGAACATTTGGTATTAAAACTATAAAGATATTCTTCATTATCCTTTCCCTAAAAGGTCAAAAGTTATCTCTGCAACTTTGATAAAAATAATTTAGGAGACTAATATAAATACTTATAAAGAACTAATCTTCACTGATAAAGCCCCAAGAGACACTGACTAGCATGATTGTTTGCATGTATAAACTGCAGATACATTTGTGTAATTAAGCAAAGTGTTATAGTCCAAATCTGAAATTAATTATCCATTGGGTTTTGAGCAAATGACACACCATGTTCAGGTCTCAATTTTCCCATCTATTCCATGTGTCTCTGTATACCAGATCTGAGTTAAGCAGCATACAATATAATAAAAAGAGTAGTCACTAATATGACAGCCTGTTTAGGGTAAATTATCATCCTATGAGAAAGGTGTTATTAGCCATTTTCTGCAAATAAGGAAATTGAAACATAGAGGAGTTCATTAGTTTGACCAATGTCATACAGTTATTTAGTAGCAGATCCAGTTTTCTAATCCAGAATTATCCCGAAACCTGTATTCATTCTCTGTTCCTCAGCAGACCTTGGGCTTTAGATTTTGTCAGCTGTAGGCAAGACTCCTGATGTGGCTTTACTATGCTAAGCAATTACCTTATCTGATTCCCAGTCTCCTCATCTGTAATGAGTTTACTAATATTTAACTCCCTGAGTTGTTGTGAAGATTACATTAGAGAGTGCATCCGTACAATTAGAAGTTATTCAATAAATGCCTTTTAACCTGCCTGGATAATCCTCTCTGGGACTAAGTTCTATCAAAAGCAATTAAAGTGAACACAAACAACATAGCTTTACTTCTTTGCTATCAGTCCTTGGCTCTGTGACTGAAACTGTCAACAAGAGTGTCAACTTCAAGGGGTGGGCATCTGTCCACAGGAACTGAGCTGAGGTCACAGACTTGTCTCGCTCTGCCCTACAAACAGATGTCTAAGTGACAACTCTTAGTCACTGCAAACTGGGGTTAGAGCCAAACCAGGTGGGAAGGGCTGCATCTCCTTTCTAATCCTCTTGGCCAGCTCATTCATTCCCTAAGACAATACCTCACTGACCAAAATCTCAAATAACTAGTTTCCCCAGGATACTATTGTAAACATAATTTATTTATTTTGATGATATCTGATTATTCCACAAACAAAAGGGAGTGTTTCCATAATAATGGCTTGTCAGAAGGAAACCTGCTTGATTCTGTATCATTGGGATGCACACCTTCAAATGCTTACCTCTCAAGTAGCCAGGTAGAAACTGATGTAATGTGGAGCTCTAGTGGTAGCAAGGAAGTAAAGCAGCTGCTAGTGAAAGCCAACAAAAAAAGCTTAGGACGTCACCATTTATTACTAAGGTAACATGCTAAGATGAAAATGCTCCAAATAATATTCTAAGATAACATAAGGTACAATCTAAATGGAATAGCTTTCTTCCAGGTTACAAGTTAGATTTCAATAACTACCCTACATTGAACATCATAAAGCAATGATATCTTCTCAAAAAAAACAGAACTCAGTGCTGGATTATCACTTTTCTATTTTTTACCAAGTTCGCTAGGAATCCTATCAGTTAAGTACTATCTATTCTTCCCACAGATAGCAACAATCCTGTATACAAAAAAAAAAAGGCAGACTGCAAGTGGTCTGATCAGTGAAGTCCTATACCAACTGTCCTGGGAACTTGAATAATCCCTGTAGTCTTAGGAGGTTGTTGTAAGTTGATGCCTGCACTAGAAAAGTGCCTTCCTTGAATATCTGACTTCTAAGGTCTTTCCCAACTTAAAACAACTAAAAATGAAACCTACAGTATCAAACATCAACCCTTTGTTTTACTGGTACCTAATATATATATATTTTCTCAATCAAAAGTTTCATTTAAAAAATACAACTCTATTGTGGTCAAGAATGTAACAGAATACAAATACTAAATATTTTGTAATGAACAATCCAGGGCTGACATTTGAAATGTCTAAACATGGTGCCTTGTTTAGCTATATCAAAACAAGTTATCATGAAGGAAAAAAAAACCTTAAGATATGAAAAACTATAAGAACTAATCTTTCCATGTATAATTATCTAGGTATCATGTTCCTGAATATATTAAAGAAAATGTAAGGAACTCACTTTCCATAAGTGATGATAAAAGAATCTAAATTGTTCATAAATGCTTTAACAATGTTTATCTAAAATAAAATATCTTGATTCATGGGAGTTTTCATGCTTTCTATCAGTTGAATCCATTAAATGTTTTCCAATGACCATATTCCAGAAGCTTCTAAATTGTTAGGTCTGCAGATGACTACCAAGCCGCAGAGGTTTGTAAAGGAAGATGGAATGATCACCCAGGGGTTTTTATTCATAATGTCCCCCTTCTCCATCTTTCTACTAATATGCTGCCCTTAATATAGTTCCCTGAAGCTGCACAGGAAAAAAAAGGTAAAAATATAAGCGCCTTTTCTGAAGTCATTGAGAATGCAATAGTTTGTCATGGGAAGCTCAAGATAAAGAATTAATTTCCTTTCAATTCTGGGCTTTAGCTACAAGATAGGAGACCAAATCTTTTAGCTAGAATAGGAAAAAAGCAGGCAAGGATGTAAAGGTGGTTTACTAACATAATCATATGCCATAGGGAACAAAACAAAAATCTGCATGAATGTAACATAAGCCACCCAGGTAATTCATAATCTAACAGTTCGATAGTCTTTTTCACCATGGACATTACAACAATAAAATTGAAAAATATCTTTCAATATATAAATCTGAGAAGTTTGTCTTTGTACATCATATTGCCTGTATTTTCCTCGGTGACTATCTCTATCTCCTTTACTTTTTCATAACAGACCTTGGTATGCTGCTTAAAATAATATTTAGGACTTTATTTGCCAACCTTTTCACAGAGACATGTTGATTTTATTAAAGCAAGTTGGGTCTGCACTCTTTCCTTACTATTATTACAGGTAGACATGACAGACACAGGACCATTGTTTTAATATGCTCTGCTCTGGAGGAAACCTTGTTAAATAAGTTCCATTTTACCTGCTGGGCAGTTGCACTCTGAAGGTGCTTCTCTTGCGATTCTTATTTTACCCATATGTTCATAGGATTTCTGTAGGAAAAGAAGAGGTATTAACAATCATCAGTAGCACTGTAGATAAATGAATTATTTAGGGAACCTCTGGCCAGATGCCTGATTGACCAGCAATTGATAGCCTGCGTAGCTAACATTTACATATATACTTGGGCTTTTCTCAAACGGTAATCATGCCCAAGCCCTAAAAAAAGAAGACGATCGCTGATGTGTTTTCAAGATTGCTGGACTGGCATAACATCTTTCTCCATTCTTCAACTACCACCACTCTCTCCCTCAACTCAAGCATATGCAGCCAATGCAAAAACCTGGCACCAACTTGTTGCAGTGCTAAGTAGGCAGTGGCTTACCAGTAACAGCCAACACTTTATACATGGAGGGCAACTGCTGTATCACACTGTGCTGCAACTACTGCCAAACAGCCTCCCTGTTGGAAGAACAAGTTCCAGAAAACTTTCTAACTCTAGGCTAAAGGCTTCCTGCATATTACATAGATTCTTTTCAACTCTCAGCTCTCTGGCTCTGCCTTCATAAATATCCATGGTACTGCATTCTTGACCAAAAATAAAGCTACTTTTTTAAAAAAGTGTTTTTTGACTTTTAATATGAAAAGATTAAATGTGTGAAATTACTGATTTCAAATAATATGTAGGGTTATATTTCACTTGGAAGAGTGATTACCTTTTGTATGTTACACCTTTGACCCCTAACCTTCTTATAACATGTGAAATATATCACAGATGCTATTTCTGCAGAGATATTATCCACACAATTGAGAAAGACTAACACATAACTTCAGAAAACTAAAAAGAGATGAAATCCTCCCCCTGCCATTCTGGTCACACACACACACCCCCCCCTTCAGAGCTTCATATATGATTAGGACACAAGCATGAAGGAGGAGTGAGGGAGGACGGCAGAGACAGGGATGGGGATATCAAGAGATGTGCATATACAAATACAGGCTCTCGTGAGCGCAGCTCGTGGCCTGCTCCATCCACACACAGCCACACCAAGTCTGCACACAGGGCAGAGGCTGTTCATACACACGGAATCACGCCTGTGCACGATGCCATCCACGTGCAAAATACCCGAGCCTCACACCTGAGCCAGGAGTCGCTCCACTCTCTCTTGCACCACGGCCTTGAGCTGATCCAGGGTTTCCGGCAGCAGACGAATGGAAGGAGCCCCTTTGGCCGATTCGAGAGCGGCGATCCTCGCCTGGAGGTCGTTGGTTTTCACCCCCAGGTACAGACAGGACACCACGGCCACCACTGACAAGAGGGCCGCCAGGACCGCGCACGGGGGTATGGCCCGGACACAACGCTGGCCGGCGGGGCTCGGGTCCTCGGATCCGGGCTCCCGGCCCCCTCCTTTCCCTGCGTGCTTCTTCACCAGCATCGCGGCGGGGTCGGCTGACTCGGCTTCACCTCCCGCTACCACCTCCGATAGGCTTAAAAGGAATGAAAGAAAAGGACGATGCCTCCAAAGTTCAGTCCCTGTGGCTGCACAACTAGTTGGCTGAGTGAACCCCGGGAGCGGAGACGAACCCCCGTCTCGCTCAGCGTGGAGAGCAGCAGGCGTGCACCATCCTCCGCGTTCTTCTCTCCTCCCAGATGCCAGTGAGAAGCACCCTTGGTCGGGGCACTGGGTGGCGATGGGGTCTTCCGACTCCCAGCGAACCGACACCTCTTCCGAGATCCCCGGGAGCGGCCGCTCGGGGTCGGAGGGACGGCGGGCGAGGCGCGGCGAGGGGCCTCCGCTGGCCCCGGCCGGACGACCCGACCTGTTGCGCCCCTGTGAGTGTGCCTTCTGTCAACCTATTCGGTGCCTTTCCGCAAGCCGACCTGTGTCCCACCTGGATGCAGTTCAGGGCAAAAGGCCGGGGGAGCCCGTCAGTGCGCGGCGCGCGAGGGGTGGCGGAGGGGGAGAGGAAAGGGGGAAACCAAGTACACCCAAGGAGCGAATGCAAGTCGCGGCTGCTCCAAGTATCTCCGCAGCCTCGTGTGTGCGAGCCTTAAATACCCCTCGGGATGCTGGTGTGTGCGTGCGTGTGTGTGTGTGTGTGTGTGTGT